TATCTCCTAAGCCAAAGAGGAGACACGCTAGCTGACAAATGGCAATGGGCATTTGGGGATCATCACATGGCAATTTTCACATCGGGGCTGTTCCAGAAGTCCCGGGGCATATGGTTGTCAGACTCGGGATGAGTAAGAGCTGCCCAGGGAGGACCGGAAGCAGGTGAGAAAAAGGAGAACAGTATCGCACGCAAGGCAGAGGAGGAATGCACTAAACCTACAAGAGGATTAAAAAAAATGTCTCAGCATCTTTCACATTTCACACGGGGATGCGACATGTCCCATTCAACTTGATACAGCTGAAAGTGACAAAAACCTCATTCCTGGGGTGAGATTTATATCTGATGAGTTAAGCTGCATACAGCTTACCCTCTGTAAGAAGATGGGAAAACACTAGTGGAGGGCAAACACAGAGATGACATCCAGACAATATTCTGTCTCCCGAAACATTCTGTTTGCTGAGACGCCCTTCCAGATCCTAACCACACTGCTTCTCAGCCTTTCAGCTAAGATGAAGTGCGGACACTTAGTCATGACTCAAGTGCTCTGGAGAAGTTAGGAGAGCAGAGGTCACTTCATAACTGCCAAGTGCAAGAAACCCTAAAGCAGCAATTTTTAACAACACGGCTGCCTCCAAGACAGAAGCTGTAAGGAACTTCACAAGGCTCCCGGCTTTGGATGAAAATGTCATGGGCTTTGTGGCACTTCTCTCATCCTTGGGACCCTTGTCTGGAATGTTCTGGATGTCTGGAGTTAAGGGAAGTTCCATTTCATTTACCACTGTTGAAGGCACTGACTCACCCCCGCCGACTTGGGAGCATGCCATGCAACAATGCTGGTCTGCAGCTTTGGGTAGGAGGTAGGAAATGAAATTCACATTTTATTTACTGCACATATTACTCAGTATTTATCATCTAAAATGGTCTTGTAAAAGCCTTTGCCAACTACACATCCCATTAACATACAGATGGAGTGTGCTCTGCTCGGAAGAGCGGTATTTTAAGGCTCTAGGAAGGCACGAGGTAACTCTTCACTAAGCAGCCCCAGACTGCAGTGTTTTTGAAGAACTTAAGGCCACCTGGGAAACAATGTTGATTTTGATACTGCACTAGCACCCAGGTGACATTCCAAATGATTTACAATGACACTCTCAAACCATAAAAGTGCTTCACCCAAGTCAACTCAGAATGGACAGACAACCCCATTGGTAGATGACAAAATGGAAACATGGACACATTTCATGATATAGACATCAAAGCAACAACACAAACACGGCTGAAAGGCAAACTGCGACCTGGAGGGGAGAGAGCAACTGTCTTGCCGACATCAACAACCCTAAGAAAAAGTGAACCAAAGCTACTAAACAAATTTCTATAAAAAAACACTAGTCCACCCTCACTTACAAATGGAAGACAATACATGAAAACTAGTCCAAGGCACCACTTTTTCTCATTTAGGAGGTTGGTAAAAAGCCCAAAATCTGAGAACACTCTATACTGGGGGATGCTCTGTGGAACCCCGTATTGCTGTTTTGGCACAATCCATACAGATTACACATGCATGTGCCCTGGGATATAGCCATTTCTTGAACTTGACCTGCATTTGCCTTATCCACTTGCGAAAAGCACACATTTACAAAACATAGTCACAGCGGGCGACATCCCTGAGCCTGTGGAACTATATCATAAAAAAAAACAAAACAAAAACACCCAAAAGGTATTCACAGTACTGTTTACAATGGAGCAACTGATATGATAGCCCAGAGGACAGGTTAAATAAAGTTTGACACATCTGTACAAAGGAAAGCATGTCTCCATAGAAATAGAATGAGGTAACTGTGAACGGACATTACAGAATTCATGAGAAATGGAACTAATGAGACTTACTTTGGTGCAAAAATTGTTTAAAAACTTCAAGTAATTTTTATGTAACATGCATCTTTCCATGGAATTTCTGAAGCATATACAAATGCTTATATATACACACGTGTATGTGTGATGTGTATAAATACAGTTATATTAACAGACAGGAAGAGAGGTATTTCATTCTCTTGTTCACTTTCCAAAGGACTTCCACGAATGGAGTTGGGCCAGGCTAAAGCCAGCAGCCAAGAGTTTATTCTGGATTCCCAACATGGATACGGGACACAATCAGTTTGAGCATCCACTGTTGCTTTCCCTGGCTCATCAGCAGGCAGCTAGATCAGAGCTCAAACAGCTTGGCACTCATTTCAACTTTTTGATTTTGAATCATTTCAAATAATGCCTATTCAACATTTATCAGCCTTTTTGATTTTTACTCCTTTTCTGTCTCCTTTTTGCGGGGGAAATCAGCAGTGATCAAGTCTTGGCAATTCTTTCTCTTGGCCTCATCCATGGCTGTCCTAAGGTAGGCACAGTGAGACAGGCAAGGAAGCGGGCAGCACCACGTCAAGTTCAGGTACACAAACTTTCTAACAGCTACCATGAAGGTATCCCTGCAGGGCTTTCCTACCTGATTTTTGGCTGTGTTTCAGATGGAGACGCAAGGAGGGCGGAAAGACGAGTGCACAGTGAGAGGCAAAGGTGGGAGACAGGGAGGCTGGTCCATGTGCATCCCCCGCCTGAGGCCAGCCTCCCACAGAAGCTGGGCAGAGGCACGAAGACACGCTACCTGCAAAGCATCTTACAGCACCGTGGCAGGGTAGCATTGAGTCAGGAGGCAGCAACAAGAATGTCAGAGGAGAGAAGGGAATGTGGAATGCTGGTCTTGAGTGCACAGAGATCTTCAGGGCGACAGAGCGCAGGTGTTGGGGGAGCAGTGCCACGGCAGGCTAAGTGGTGAGAGGGAGAGCAGAGGCTGTGGCCTTCTGCAGAAGGATCTGCACGTGTCCATGTCATCCTTCTTGAGCTGTGAGCATGGCATACAGAGCAGGGGCCGGAAGCCCCACCTCAGCCACTTAGGGACCTTGGCTTTGCTTTGTGACTTACCTCCTCTGAGCCTCAGTGGTCCCATCTGCTCAATGGGCTGATGCCATCCACACACTAAACATTTTGCATAGCACACCTCCCTTGATCTTCGCAGCAACCCAATGAAAAGAAGCTATCATCAGACCTCTTTTTTCTAGTGAGGAAGTTGAGGGTCTTAAGAGCCAAAAAGTGGAAGAGCTGCAATTGGAAACTGTTAAGACTAAGTAAACTCTATGAGTCACAATCAGGTGTGCAGCCATAAACACCTGTCATTTTTCAACTCTTTGGCAGAAGAAACTGCTTCCCCTGCTCTGAGTCTCCCTCATTTAGAGGTGAGCAGACACCAGAGGGACTGGGTACTTTATAGCAAAATAGAACACTTGCTTATGATTGGAAGTTTGTAAGGGGTAGGGAATTTGACACAGTAGTGAAGTGAAAAGACTTCTTGGGGTGTCTGTGGACACACTGAGGTACTTGGGTTCGAGTCCTGGCTCTGCTTCCTTCTCCAGCTATCCAGCGATGCCTCAAGTACCTGGCCTGCAGTCACTCACACGGGAGACCCAGGCTGAGTTCTAGGCCCTGGGCTTTGTTTTAGCTCAGACCTGGGTGGTACAGGCATTTGAGGATTCAAACGGCAGGTGTAAGATCTCTATCCTTGTAGTTCAAGTAAGACTCCATCAGTAATAATAATAATAATAAGACAATGTATGCAATGAACTTATTGCCATTCTGAGGGCCAAAGGCCTAAGTGAGCTTGTCCAGCAGGCTGCAACCTCATTTCTTGGGAAAACTCTGCAACTAGGTCTGTGCTTGTATTTCTGCTCTCCAAGAGGGCATGTTGGCTCTTTAAAAAGGGTTGCAGACAAAAACCTGCAGTATTTATAACAGACTGGGTATGAGAGTTGTGCATTGAAGTGATGTGTGAATTTTTTTCTCTTTAGATCTTTGAATCCAAAGCTATACACGAGAGTTTCAATTTGTTTTTAATACAGAGTTTTGAAAATTTATTAGAAATGGAAGATTTCAGGAAGTACTAGGAGATCATAGGATGATTCACTGAATCACATCACCAGTGTTAACTGATACTGCCTTATCCACAAGGCCCAAACTGCACTGCAGTGCTTCAAAGTAGATCTTACACCTTGCCATTCATCTGTCACGGTGCCTGCATCGCACCCTCTCAGCTACCATAGGAAGGGCCGGTTAGAACGCATGGTTATCTCACGTTTCATTTTCATAATCTGATTTGCTCACAGCCAAGGGAGACACATCATGGCATATGACAATTTTAGATATTGGTGCATTGGAAGCAAAAAGGGACCTCTCTTGGCATAATACGGGTGAGTGAATTAGCCTAATCAGCAATTTAATATTAAGAGATGATCACATTCATATTAAATACAGCTTGCCTAACACAAGCTTTACAGAAATATTAGCAAGAAGCTCAAGTGTGGCGGTCAAGGTTATACAATCATGACTTCTTAACGTTTATTACAAATCTTCTCAAGGCAATCATTTTTGCAAGTTTTTAAATTATCTAGAATCCATATACTTCTACTTTTTTTTAAAGTCTCATCTTTCCTATAGTAAAACACTTAGCTGCACATTCGCTCAGCCCTCTCCCCTACTTCTTACGCTTCATCCTAATTTATCTATAAATTTGTTTCTGTAAGACAGTTTTCACTTACAAGGTTAAAACATGCAATCTCTAAAACATGCAGACATCTGAAATCTGAAAAAGCAAAAGGATGCAGCACATACAGACACACGAGCAGGAGCACCCCTTTATGCACTAAACTAGAAACGAAAATTAACCCCCCAAACAGAGAAATGAAGCAGAAAGCAAGCACACACAGGGCAGATTGTACTTGGCATCAGTATCCACAAGCTGAACTGATATCTTCAAGTCTCAGCTTTAAGAACTGAAGTAGACCAAGTGAGTTTCAGTATCTGTGGTCTACAAGCCTTTATTTCCAATAGCAACAAAACAAAGAAATATCAGGCAAGCCAATCCCGGCCATTGAGACCCCCGTTAACTTGACCGCCCCTCACCTGCTCCCCTTCTCTCCTCTCTCCCAAGAAGGCACTTCACGGAAACGTCTGGGAAAGCCCTTGGACTTTACTTTGTTACACCCTCTGAATGGACAAAAAAAAAAAAAAAAAACAAACAACAACAACAAAACAAAAAAACAAAAGAGAACAGGTGTAGCAGACAGCATTTTCAATTGGCCACCAAGAGTCGCACATCAACACCCACCCTCCCTTCAAACACCAACATTACCTCGGCGTCAGTGCTTATCTGGGACAGTGTCAAGAGAGGAGGCTTCCACACCAAGGTAGCAAGAGACAGGAGATGGGAACTCTGTTCTTCTGAGCTGTCTTTACCTACTGTGTCAACCCAGGTGTTACAGGGAAGACAAGGGTCTCAAAGAACCATGAACTTGCTCATTTACATGCCTACTCTTTCACCTTTGCCATGCTGCCCTCCGAGATCCAGGATGACCTGAAGTCACGGGAACCCACCAGGACTTGCTGAGAATCTACTGGGAAACCTTCACGGCTACCTCCTAAGGCATTTCCTTCAACATGGTGCCCTTGGACAAGTCTGTGGCTTCTCTTAACCTCAGGCATCCCTCTTTGGCCTGGACAAATGCTCTGCTATTCCACAGTGCAGATTGTACGGTAGAGACATCTCACGGAGATGGGCACAGTGGTTGGCACGAGATTATTGCATTGCTATTGTGGTCCTATATTTAGCTTTCCCTTAAATAACCACATCCACCAGAGACTAGGCTATAGCATCTGAAAGACCATACTTTAGTCACACAACAATACTTGGAAGCTTTATGTACTATTCTTATATTTAATCTAGTAAACCCTTTGGGACATAGGACTTCACACTAAAAAGACTGCTATTCTGTCCAAACTCTGTTGATAGGACAGCAAAGACAGTCTCAGATATGAGGATTTTATTTTTAAAGCTTGTATAAAAGTGGGATTAACAGAAGTTTATTTTGATACAAAAATATTTCTTTTTTTTTTTTTTTTTTTAAAGATTTATTTTTATTATTTTTTCATTGGAAAGGTGGATATACAGAGAGGAGAGACAGAGAGGAAGATCTTCCGTCCGATGATTCACTCCCCAAGTGAGCGCAACGGGCCGATACTATGCCGATCCGAAGCCAGGAGCCTCTTCCGGGTCTCCCACGCGGGTGCAGGTTCCCAAAGCTTTGGGCCGTCCTCGACTGCTTTCCCGGGCCACAGGCAGGGAGCTGGAAGGGAAGCGGGGCTGCCGGGATTAGAACCGGCGCCCATATGGGATCCCGGGGGTGCAAGGCGAGGACCTTTAACGACTTGCGCCACCGCGCCGGGCCCGATACAAAAATATTTCAAAATTCATGTATAATTTTTTTTTCAGAAAGTGTATTTCCTCAAGCATGGATCGTAAATGTTTATGCACCAAAATTACCTGTGAAGATAATTTTCCATGAACTTGAAAAAAACTATTGAGTCAAAAAAACTTTTTTTAGCTATTTCTTATTTAATTTATGTTAGAGACATGGATCATCAATCCACTAATTTATTCATCAATGAACTTGATCCAGGGTTCCCACCATGGTGGCAGGGACCCAATCACTTGGGCCATTGCCCACCACCTCCCAGAGTGTGGCTTAGCCAGAAATGGTCCTTGGTGCTGGGAGAGGGGGTTGAGGATGAACTTGGACTCAGGCCCTCCAACCCAGGATGTGAGCAGCCCAACCTGTGTCTTAACCACCAATCTAAATGCTAGCCCCACCTCTGTGAGCTTCCTGAAGGACCCTTCCATACAGAGACAGCCCCCTTCTGTGACAGCTCTGTGGAGTCCCTTACAGAACTCCCCTGTGAGCGCTCTCATGCCCAAACAATCAACATTCTCTGTTAACCTCTGAGTCACTCCCTGGCTTGCACAGCTACTGACCTCCAGGATCAACATCTTCTAAGCCCTTCTTCCTAACTACACATGTTCAGTCATCACTGGGTTCCATCCTGGGTCAAAGCGCTGGGTGCAGTAACCACAATTTGGAGAAGCCAGAACTTGGGAACATGATAGAAAGAGGGGTCATGGTGACCAAAACCTCATGGTCTCCCTCCCAGGGAAGATGCTCGGCGTGCCTACGAATGTGCATCTGAAGACATCACCAGCGTGTTAGAATGTTGTTACGAATTTTCAGAAAAACTTCAAATTTGCAGCTTCCTAAAATATTTAGACTTTTTCTCAACCCTTAGCCTTACTCTGAATTCTGCCAGATTCACTCCTGCGGGTGTTTTGGAGCGGAGCCGGCCATCTCCGCAGTTTTTCCTCACACACAATCACAGGCGCTTCAGACTCCCACCCGAGAGCTGACAACACTTTGCTGAGAAGCAAACGCCACACGATCAATAACTAATACCACGAGTCAGTCACAGATCTATCTATCACATTCATGCTTGCGAGAGAAGGTGCTGGATTTGGAACAGTCCACACACAGGGGTTGTGTGTACCTACGACAGACTGGATGATGAAGCAGCTAACCCTTCCTGGAAAGTGAGCCTGGTTTAGTATGCGTCCGACTACCCTTCCTTACCCGATCAGGCCAGTCTGTGCAGTCTCCAGGAGCAGGCTTCAATAGCAACCTTTGGCCGTGACTCCCTTCCCACTTTGTCTAAAGCCTGTGTGTTAGCCTGTTCCAAGAGCTCTCTGGCTGGCATCTCAGGGCCAACTCGACAGCAGGGGTCCAGTTACTATAACAACTGTCAGCTCTGGTGAATTCTGAAAGGCCCCTCCGAGTAGCCATTTGGGAAACAGTTACTGAGCAAAAAAAAAAAAAACTTGTCTGGGATCGACTGCCTTAGCTACGACGTGATCCTGGGCTCCCTGGGCACAGCTGTCCAGGCAATCACACACAGGCAGTGCCCACTTCAAGGAGCAGCTGTGGAGCTCCAAACGCCTCTCCCCCTGTCCCCTTCAGCATCCCAGTGGAGACAGTTTCACACTATGGTGTCAATCATAGAGTCATCCACTCCAATCCTACGGGGCAGGCCATCTTAAGGCAGCGCCAAATGTGCTGTGTCTCCCTCTGTGGCTTGACACATTGTCGGTCTTCGAAGAATCAAACTGTAAAAATCATTCCTAATGGTTAAGAAAAAAATATTGAAATCTGGCCAAAGGTGTAGGTTCTACAAAGAGGTAAGTGGCACAGGAAAAACAAAAGAAAAAAACAGGACAACGGCAATCCTGAGAACAGTCTGTCTCCAGCCCAGACAGACAGGATTGTACAAAGCCAGAACAAATGACCAGACTCAGCTAGACTTCAGATTAAGTTTTATACACATTGATCTTTTCGATACCCATTCTTTTCCTTTATCAGTGCAATGCAATATTGATCAAATTCGGTCTGCCCCGTGCCTCTGCGCATGCTGAACCCCACCCCTGAGAACAGACCCTGACTCCAGCCATTGCAGTGGTCTTTTCTTTGCAGTGGTAGGGCAGTGTGCAATACTGAGGGTGTCACGATTCAGGCCTTCCGGGGCTGTTCTCACAGTACCTTTGCCTGGCACATGTGTCCTGCCCCCTTGCTCCTGTGGACAAACTAAAGCCCAGGAGCACTGCCAGTCTTCCTGTCATTCCCATTCTATTCTGGTCAGAGTCAGAGTCACTCTCAGAAAACAGTGTCTCCCAGGGATGCACACTGGGCAGCAGTGACCTATGGGGAGCACAGAGACCAGCAAATGGGCCAGTGAGTATTTCCTGAACAGGAACTTGCACAGCTGGCTCTCTGTCCAGCCCGATGAGTGCCACAAGGAAACATGAGAACAGTATTGCTACATAAGGAATTATGAAAATAGAATTGCTGCATTTCCCAACCTGTGAGGACAACCTGGGCAGCTGAGTTTTTGATCCTTCTAATTTTTAAAATTCTATTTCATTTTTCACATAAGAGACACACAGAGGAAGAGATACAGTGAGGCAGGGTTCCCATTGGCTGGTTTTACTCCTAAAATTCCCACAAACACCAGGACTGGGCCAGGCTAAAGCGGGGAGCCATGGACTGAACTCCTCGGGCCATCATCTGTTGCCTCCCAGTGTGCGCATTAACAGGAAGCCGGAATGAGGAGTGAAGCCAGAGCTTGAACCCATGCACTCCAATACTGGATGTGGGCAGCCTAACTGGCACCTTAGCTAGTGCAGCTAGTAGATCCAGCACCCAGCTCTACAAAGCTTTGAACTCATTTCTTCCTATTTCCCAAATGGTTCAAAACTATAAAAATAGTCGTGTCAGTTAAATAAAAATGGTCAGTGCTTCTGACTTTTATTTGGCATAATCTTTGCTTATCTACGTATTGTCTTCATTAAGGCTAGGAGCCTCTGGAAAAAATAACCGTTTCTTTGGCTAATTTTCTGCACCAGGCACAAGCAAGGTGCTTAGGAACTGTTGAGTAAATGGAACAAAGAATAAATGGACCAGTGATAAGAGATGTTAACAGTCAATACACGATACAAAAGCAGAAATGCAAGAAACTCCAAAATACACCAGCCAAGTGTCTGACCCCGTGCAAGTCAATTCTCTCTGGAAACTCTGCTCTCTTTGGGCAAGGGTGCTTCCCTTCCTGCTGCCATGCCTACCATGCACAGCTGCTGGAGGTAACTGGCGGTGCTGCTCCTTCCCACATGCACTTGCGTGAGGACAATGACTTCTCGCAGCTGCCTCCTTTGTGACTTTGCACGGTGGCGGTTGGGTCAGGGGGAGGGTGGACCAACATCTCAGCCCAATCCAGCTATTAGCATGCAAGCTTGAAAGTGTGGTGTGTTGGACAGATGGGCATAGCACGCGTGCCTGGTTGCTACTGGTGGAAGACAGGCAGGGACCATGGCCCAGCCAGACACGTGTGGTCAGTCATCCGAACAATGCAGGGTGCTACTGCATGCCCACAGCAGATTTTCACACACATCTGCTTGTTTGAGCCTTGAAGATGCCAACACAAACACAACACATATTACTGTGCTCTGCAGCCTTTCATGTTTATTGCACATTGTCTCCTATGGAACATTCAGGAAAGGACAAAAAAAAATTGTAATGTAAAACAACAGACTTGCTTGTTTTCAGGAACAGCATTAC